TGCCGGGGGGATTACTATACCAGATTTTAAGCTGTATTACAGAGCTATAGTCATAAAAACAACATGGTACTGGCACAACAGTAGACCCATAGATCAATGGAACAAAATTGAAGACCCAAATATGAGTAAATACTATTTCAGCCACATGATATTTGACAAACAGGCCAAGAACATTAACTTGAGGAAAGACAGCTTGTTCAGCAAATGGTTCTGGCAAAACTGATCTCCACCTGTAGAAGAATGAAACTAAACCCCTATCTTTCACCCTGCACAAAAACCATTCCAAATGAATCAGAGACAATGTAAAACCTGAAACTCTGAAACTGTTAGAAGAAAACATTGGCAAAAACCTACAAAATACAGGTGTAGGAAAGGATTTTCTAAATTTGACATCAGTTGCCAAAGGAACAAGAAACAAGGTCAAGAATCACCAAATATGACCTCATTAATCTAAAAATCAAAGGAGGCAACCATGGAAGCAAACAGAAAACCCACACATGGGAGAAAAATCTTCACCAGCAACACATCTGACAGAGGTTTAATATCCAGAATATATAACAAACTCAAAAAACAGAATCAAGACAAGAAGTAACCCAATTAAAAGATGGGCTAAGGAGCTGAACAGAGAGTTCTCAAAAGAAGAAGTAAGGATGGCTATGAATCATCTTAAAAGATGTTTGACATTACTAATAAGTAGGGAAATACAAATTAAACCACTTTAAGACTTCATCTTACCCCAGTCAGACTGGATAAGATCAAGAGAACAAATGATATCAAATGTTGGAGAGGATGTGGGGAAAGGGGAACGCTCATCCACTGCTGGTGGGGCTGCAAACTGGTTCAACCCCTATGGAAAGCAGTATGGAGAACTCTTAAAAAAACTACAAATGAACCTACCATTTGACCCAGTTATACCACTCCTTGGCATATACCCAAAGAACTCATCCTATTGCAGAGACACTTGTACATCCATGTTTGTTGCTGCTCTTTTCACAATAGCTAAGAGATGGAAGCAATCTAAATGTCCCTCAATTGATGAGTGGATATTGAAAATGTGGTTCATTTATAGGATGGAGTTTTACTCAGCAGTAAAGAAAGATGAAATCATGAAATTTGCAGGTAAATGGATGGAACTAGAAAGTAACACAGACTCAGAAAAAAAAATCAACCTATGTTCTCCCTCATATGTGGCTCCTAGAACCAGACTCTGATAAATAAGTATGCAAACAGACATAACTACAGGAACCAGGATAATGAAGAGAAACCAGGGAGGTAAAGGAAAAGAAAGAATCTGAAAGAGAAGAACAGTAGAAAACAGGTGATAACAAAGGAGATATGGACAATAATGGGGTTATTTTAAGGGGAGGGAGGATGGAAGGGTGTACAGGGAACCTAGGGGATAAAGGGAAAGAAGGAGTTCAAGAGAGGTAGGACCATAGGAGAAAGGTATTATTAAGGGAGAAAGGGGGGAAATGGGGGCACCTTAATTGGGGAAACCATGACAATGCAAGAGATAAATAAGGCCTACCTAGCTTTTAAAACCAGAGGGAACGATATTAGTCCAACAACGTACTGACAAATTATACATACAAGATCAAGAAATATGTCTAGGTAAAGTTTATCTGAGAACAACTAGTCTTCTCTCAAGATTTATCTACATGGCACACAGTAATTAAAAATACCAGACTGGTGGAACTAACCTTCTTGGATGTTTAACAGATATACTTTGAGGCCTAATCTAATTTGGGCAGAGGGACATAAAGGACAGTTTTTGCTCCTTACCCTTCTAGGTCGACTAGTTATAGGGGACTATGAGCATCTCCCAAAATGTCCTGTGATTGTGGTGGGTCACCTGTCCTCTTGATCAAGGAGCCCGAGGAGACCCCATGAGATGGACTTGAACCAGTTTCCAGTCTACAAAGAGGAGGGTCAACATAGAGGAATCATTTCCTCCATGCTTCCAAGTGAAGCAAGCCATGGTTGAGCAGGACTTTTGACTTATCTTCACATAGAACTGGTAAAAGAAAAGAG